ACATTGAAGCCAGCAGCCCCAGTGGCAGTCGCTGGCAGTCCCACGCTCGTGCTGCCTCTGACCCTGCAGCGTTCCCCTTGCTCCTGTCTCTGCTGTTACGGCTGCTGCCGCCGCTTTCCCGTGTTTTATTTTAAGAAGATTTTGAGCAGCAATGCTGATGAGCAATGCCAGCCAGTTCGAGGCGAGGGTGGCTGCCTGCCTGCCTGCCTGACTGACTGCGCTGTTCTCTCCATTTTCATTATGCTGCAGCGAGGGGTTGGATGGGTGGTGCTGCTGCTGCTGCTGCTCCTGGCGGTGGTGATGGTGGTGTTGTTGGCAGCGATGAGCTCGGCTGGGTTTGTTGGCTCTGTATGGGGTGTGGGTTGTTCTTGTGTGTCGTTCGTCTGCCGCCTGCCTTCCATTTTCTTGATAAGTTTTTGTGCCCTTTCTCGTTGTCCTGAGCCCGGCACGTAGACAGGCGCCTGACATTGGTTGGGCGGCTTGGGTGGCTTACTCATTGGCTTTTGCTCCTTTGTGCATTGCTTCACAATTTATGAGACAACATTCAGATGCTTGTTATACGCTGTGCTCTGCTTGTAATTGGGTATATTGAACTGTAGATAAGGCAATAATATGTATATGGAATATTCGATTGAATAAAAGCTCTATTCTCATTACTATACTATAAGTGAGTTATATTAGTAGGGAGCTTTAAAAAGCTGCATTGCAGCAGATAACTTGAATCTTTTAAGGCTCTAGTATGTGTGGGTACAGGGTATTTCTTAGTCAAACGTTAACATCTATCACCAGTTAACCCTTTTTGGCGGCAAACTTTAATCGAGAGTTTCACTTTTCGTTCTGCTTACAGGTTAATTCAGCAATGGGTCTTCAAGCAACAGCCGCTACCAAGCGGAAGCATGAGCTGACCTTTGACAGCAAGGATGCCAACACCACCTACACGGGCAACTGTGCGCCGCCGCCGGTAAAGGCCAACAAATGGGCTATCAACAACAACAACTACCTGGAATCGCTGGAGGAACAACAACAGCCACAGCAGCAGCAAAAAACGAGCTCGGAACAGCTAACCGAATCCAACAACAACAACGTGGAGCCCGTGAAGCCAGCGCATAGTATTATTAGCAACGGTGACGAAGTTACTAACAGCAGCACCAGCAGCATCAAGAGCCCCGCGGAGGTGCCGCTGCCGCCCACGGCGAGCGCTGCGATACCCGAGGACAGCATTGCCAAGTTGGAGGTGGTGGCCGCAGTGCCCTGCGAGCCCTGGTCAACAGCTGCGTCGCCCGTGGCGGCGGCCAGCAGCGAGCCCGTAGATTGCATCTCAAAGCTGCAGGCGGTGGCCGTGCCCAGTGATCCCTGGGGCAGCATTGCCACGCGCTCCACGCTCGCCACCACGCTGCTGAGTGCGGACGAGCTGGATGACGATGACGATGACTTTGAGGATGACTACGAGGAGGAGGAGAGCATTATACCCACCTACTGTCCCATGCGCTATCATCCCTTTGCCCAGCAACAACAACAGCAGCAGCAGCAGCAACAGCAGCAGCAACAACAACAGCAACACCAGCAGCAGCAGCAGCACCAGCAACAGGCTGCAGCTGCTGCGGCCGCGGCAGCGCAGCAACAGCGCAGCTATCCTCCCGGCTATGGAAGCCGACCCGCCTACTACTCGGAGCCGTTTCCACAGCAGAATTGTTCACGCACCGGCAGCCCGCAGCACATGGCGCCGCGAGGCTTTGCACCGCCCCAATGGACCACAACAGGCGCAGCGACTGGCGCCGGCACGGCTGGAGCGGCGGGTGGCGCAGCGGCCACGCCCAGCGGTGCCCAGCAGCAGCAGCAGCAGCAATTCTATGAGAACGGTGGCGGAGTCATCTATGCACAGCCAGCTCCACAGCAGACCATACGCTGTGCCGAGAATGGCAAATCCTATCTGGACCTGGGTTGCAGCAGTGCGGCAACAACTACACCAGCCAGCACCCTGCCCAATAGCAATGGCAACACCCCGCCAGCACCCTCTTCCTTTGTGGCCGGCGGATTGCCGCTGCCGATGCCGCTGCCCCTGCCGCTGCACGGGCTGCCGCTGAAGCGCTGCTGCGACGGACGCGGCGGCTGGTGCAGCGCCAACCGCAGCTGCTACAAGGACACGCGCCTGAAGATACGCAACCTGTCCATGTTCAAGCTGTCGCGCTTCCGACAGGTGTCGGAGCAGTCGCTCTACCGCTCGGTGCTCATCTGCAATACACTGAAGCGCATCGATCGCGAGATCGAGACGGAGGCCAAGGAGTTGCACCAGGCGGCGCAGCAGCATCATCAGCAGGCAGCTGCCGCGGCAGCTGCGGCCGCCGCTCAAGCGGCACAGTATCATCCAGCCTATCAACAGCAGCAGCAGCAGCAGCAGCAACAACAACAGCAGCAGCAGCAGCAGCAGCAGCAGCAGCAATCCCCTCCAGCGCCTTTGCATCATGCGCAGCAGGATTATGCGCCTGTGCTGAATTGCGCCCGGCTGGCCAACATGGATCATTATCAGCAGCTGGCACAGGCCCCCAGTTTCCAGCCCCAAGCGCCGCTCGGCTATCACGAGCGTCTGGAGGCGCCGCCGCCACCATACAGAACCGCAGCTGCGGCTGCACCTAGCGGATTCCAAGCACAGCCCACACATGTCGCTGCCGCCTCGGCGACCAGCAATTGTGATACGTCCTGCAGCACCACGCTGCATCCCTATGATCACTACCCCTTCCGGGAGTCGCAATCGGGACGTGCCACGCCCTTCCCCACTTGTCAGACGACGACAACGACGCCAGCGGCGGCAGCAGCGGCAGCAGCTAATCCGCCTGTAGCTGCCAATGCGGTCAGCAGCGCGAGCGTAATCTCCGTCAGCATCAGCTCCAGCACCAGCAGCACAACCGCTGCGGGCCCCGCAGCACCTGTCCAGGCGGCGAGCTGTAGCAGCTCGAACTCCACCAGCACCAGCAGCAGCAACAATGTCAGCTCCGCCTCGAGCGCGGTCAGTGCCTGCGATTCGAGTGACTCGGGCTATGCGGACGACGATTCGACTCGCTCCATCAACTGGAGCTCGGTGCTCAGCCTCAGCTCACAGTCGGCGCTGGATCCGCTCAACAACAACGATCTGTTCAACATACTGCCTGCCGCCGCCACGCCCACAGCGGTGCCCGTGTGCATAGCGAGCAGCAGTCCCAGCTCTGGCTCCACCCTGGCCTTTAGCGGCAGCTTCACCACGGTGCAGGCGAGCGCCAGTCAAAGCAGCAGCAGCAGCAACAACAACAACAACAACAACTCGTCCTCCACAACGGCCACCTTTACCACATTGTCCACCATATCGTCGGCGACGCACTCTCTGACCTCTTCCTACGTGAGCAGCATCAGCTCCAATGTGTCAGCGGGCGCCAATACGTGGGAGTATGGTTTTCTGGACATGGAGTTCGGGCTGGGCTCGGAGTTCACCGAGCTGGTGCCCAGCTGCAAGCTTAGCTCCGACGAGCTCTTTAAAAGTGGCCTCAGCGGACCCGTCGCCAGCTCCAGGCTGCACGACAACGAGCTGGAACAGCCCGCACACATCATGGTCGGCAGTTAGTATCAGTTGTAGGCGTTCGATTGTCGCGGAGACGGTGGCAGCTGTGGCAGCCGCCGGGCGTAGCGTGCGGGTCACGCCCGTCCGGGTGGCGCCACAGCCCAATTCCAAGCAGTATTCAATATGTAATTGTTGTAGCAAAGAATTAATTGAATCAAACACTGTAAACATAATTTCGAATTATGCTCAGGTTGTGAATGTGCATATTATCCCCCCCCCCCCCCCCCTCTCCAATCCCATCACAATCCTCCTACTGAACAGCAGACCCTCAACACAAAAACCCTTTAAACAAGCAAAGCCAGGGGCGCCACACGATAATTGCAATTGTATTGAAAATAAAAACTAAGAGAAGAAAATGGTATGACAAATGAAAACTATTAGCAAATTTTTTAAGTGTAAATATTGTAAAATTTCAAATGTCTAATGTAATGAAGAACAACTTCTAGAACCTAAGCTTAAGAGCAAAAAACAGAATTATTATATAGTATATATATGATAAATGTATCTATATTAGCGCGTATGACATGTAACTTTAGCTTTGTTAGTTGCAATTGTTGCAGTTTTTCGATTACAGCAAAACGTTTCACAAACACAAACAGAAAGAAGTTGGACAAAGATCAATTATTGCAGAAAAACACACACAACAAATATTTGGTAGACAACAACAACAAGCAAAATCGAAAAACGTTTACTATATTGTAGCCATAAGTATTATTATTTATATACAAAGGAAAACAAAACAAATGGATACGTGAGAGAACATCTTAAAACAAAGTTTTACAAAAAAACAAAAAATTGAAAACAAATTTGAGAAAAAAAAAATACAAGCAAATATAAAGAATTTGTTAAAAAAAAATTACAAATGGCATATTTTATGGTTTCGGTCCGGGCTTTTAGCGGTGTTCCAATCGCTGCATTGAGAATGATGGACAGACAATTTGAAGTTATATATTCATATTTCTCAAGGAGTGTATGTTGCTGTCACAACTAAAAGCGTTGGTTGATAATGTTCATTTCGCCCTTAGCGCCATCTACGACGAACATAGCTTTGGTTCACGTCTCTGCTTATTTGTGTGTGATAACTTTGCGCCACCTATCTACTTTATTTGGGTTGATGTCAAAACTAAATTTGGGATAACTGGAAATTTTGACCGTTCTCAAGCGCCATCTATTTGACGAGTATTCCGAATAGTTAACCAAGTTTAATAATTGCATTAATATATGATGGTGGTGAAATTGGTTAAACGAAATTTGTTGCCAGTTCTGGTCTGAACATAATGTTAATTAACATAATCAAAATCAGCTGTTTTATAATGTTAAACTCAAAGTGTAATGTTCAGAAAACGAGTTGGCATTCTTCAAAACTTTTCGGCTGCGTTGGCAGCTTGGTCACCTGTTGAACACCTGTTATTAGTTTGTCTTCTTCTTTGGTCGCGTGCGGTTGTGTCGCGGCCGTCGATTTAAATTGCGTCGGCGGTAATGTTTATAATATCAGTTCATCAAGCAGAGCTCGCGTGTGTGTGTTTGTGTTGATGTTCCTCTGCGCGTTGTTTATGTGTGTTTCGAAATGCCGCCAAGTGCAATTTGCAGCTAATGAATATTAAGAACAAAATGCTAAAATCGTGTTACAAAAAAGGTAAAGTGCCAGCGCAAAAAAAAAAAATAAAAAATTAAATAGAAAAAGAAGTTAGCAAGTGGAAGAATTCTACCGCGACAGCAGCAGCAGCAGCATCGCAGCAGACGCTGGTGTAGGCTGTAAAATTAGTTGTCTGTCTGGTTTTTGTTTGTGCATGAGGTTGCGTACCCGTTTGCCTGTGTTGAGTGTATGTGTGAGTTGGTGTGTGTGTGTGTTTGTGCATGTGGTGTAGTGTGAAGCAACAATTTAATTGTGAACTAAAACAGTTCAATTACACGCAAATACAAATATGTGATTTAATTAAAATTGCATTTGCGCTTGGGGCAATATCTAAATATTTCAGTTTCCAATGTAATTTGAATCAAATAAACAAATACATATGTAGATACGTACACAATTACACACACATACACTCATATACATATATTGTCGATCGCCGCACAAGCAACAATTACATCAAACACGCAGCATGTGGACTAAAGGGGAGTGCTTAGATGTGGGGGCAGTCAAAGAAGCATAATGGCGTAATCGTAATCTTTTTGCCCTCTTTTTAATTATTCAATTAAAAGCGCAAATTGCAGGCAAATTCAATTTAGCCGCTAGTTGCTGATGTGCGGCTGCCGACGGCGTCGATGTTGACATTGAGGTAGCAGAGGCCAACGCGTCGCTGCCCGTTGCCTGCTGCCCGCTGCCCGTTACTTGCTGCTTGCTGTAATACGTGCGTCGCGTGTCTTTTTGGTTGTTGTTTTGAGCTTCGACGCGAAATGTCATTTAACAAATATTTTTTATTTACGTATGTATTTACATACATATATATTTTATGCTATTAATTTAACAAAAAAAAAAAAATGCATTTTAAAACCGGTTCTTGAACGTGCATAAATGCGAAATTAATATATAAATGATTTAATTGTTGAAATATTTGTGGTGTGCGTGTGACTGTGCTTGTGCATGTGTGCGTTTGCCCTTCAGTCAAAGTAACGGCAGTTTATTGCAGCGAAAGAAACAGCTAAACGAATATAGGGAGAGGCGCAGAGACAGCAAACGACTGCCGTCAGCTTTTTGCCCAGCCAAAAACAACAACAACAATCGACGCCGGCATTGGCCCAGCAGCTACAGCAACAGCAACATCAACAAAGCAAACAGAAAGAAAACAACAAAAAAGCAAGAGCACCGCGGCGGCCACATTCCAAGCGACAGTGTGCGGCCCCCAAAGCTCAGGTCAGCCGCCCAGCGGGCTCTCTTGCTCTCTTGCTCGCACAGCAGCTGCAGCAGCAACGGCATCGGCATTGGCATCAGCATCAGCGTCAGCCTCCGTAGTGGGTAAGTCAACTACATCAAAGTCAATTTTCTGGTGCTGGTGCCACGTCTTTTTCTTTTGAGTTATTTGCACCACCCACCACAGCACCCTCCTTCAGTTTGCCCTCTTTTGAGTTATTGTTTCTCTTGTGCTGTTACGCCTGCCGTCGGCCCATGTAACGAGATTTTTGCGTAGAAATTACATATTGTTTCATTTTCACATCTTTCCCATTTATTTCTTTTTTTTTAATACCCTGTACGAATTTAATATGTGTAAAAAGGATACGATGTTTGTGTGGAAAGTATGTGATTTCCCATCCAGCGCGTCGATCCGACTGAATAAAATAGCCAAAGCTTCTCATAGAGTATACACCTTTAAAATTGTTCTCCTTACAAATACAGAAATAATCTTTTAAAAAGATATAGTCCTTTGTTCGGGATACACAACAAAACTTATTCCTTAACATTTTACAAAATTAACACCTTAAACACAAAACTTATACAAGAATAATTGTTTCACACTGTTGGGCTAAGAACAGGGTATCTCTCGGTTGGACACTTTCGACACAGCCATTCTTGCTTTTTTCGTTTTCTTGTTAAATGGGTCGTCTTCTCCTACTTCCCTCAATAGCAGTGGTTGCTCCTATCCCACAACAGGGTGTCGCCAGCTGATGATCAAAGCAAACGCAAAAAGAAAAAAAAATATCCCAGCCAACTGAGTTAATTATGTTAATTAAGAATCGGTATTGGCCCTAATGTAATGTACATCCAGTACTTAGAGTATGCAGAGAAGTGGGCTTTGGGGTTATGGGAATTAGGGAAACGTGAATGGATATCAAATTTGTAGGTTGCCAAGACAATTCGCACACGTGGTGCAAGCGGAATACGAAGATGGCAATTGGTAATTGCCTATTTTGTAGGACGGTTTGTAGAGTTAATCATTAGACACATACTAAACATATACTAAATTGATTGTGGAGAAAGTAATGATAACTTTGGCCCGATGAAGGCTTGATACCCTTAAAAACATTTACCAAGGGTATTTGCGAAAATGTGAGCTCGAAAACAAACTGTCGACTGACGACTGTTCCAATAGTACTACATAATATAGTAGTGCGATATTAAAAATATTTGATTCATATGTAACCAGCCTAGTTTCACTAATAAATGCCGGCCGGTTAAGACTTATGTACTGCCTGTAACGGAAAGATGGACATATGCAAAGTTTCAAGATGTCAATTTTACAGCTGAAAGACTAGTTCACATAGAAACGGACAGATGTACAGACGGATATGCCGACGGACGGACAGCTATGTCTGGCCAAATCAACTGTAGATAGCTGTAGAAAGAGTATATGGGAGGACGTCTCCTTCCCCTGCAAGGGTATAAAATTTAATATTAATAAACTTGCATTTTGGTCAAATGTTCCATTATATTCTTGGAATTTCTCATTTTCAAGAGTCAACTGCATAAGTCGGCCTGTTCTTATACCCTGAACCCATTAAAAATGGGTATAAGGGTATATTGTATTTGTGCAAAATCCAAATGTATGTAACACGCAGAAGGAAGTATCTCCGACCCCTATAAGAGCTAGAGACTTGAAATTTTAAATGTAGGTGCTCCTAGTTCCCGCGCAGATCGAGATCCGATAATCGATAACTTACTGCGTTTCCAAGCAATCGATAAAAATCGATATCGATATCGTGTTTTTGGTCAATTTTGGTAAATAATAAGAGCTAGAGTCACCAAACTTGACATATATGTAGCTTCTTAAATAGAATATATATCTGCATTTGATGTTGGAAGAAGAGGTTTCAGGGTATCCCCTAGTAAAGAGCTTCCGACTAGAACCTCTTACTGGTTATGCTGCATATAGTGATATCTTTGCACAGTTTTATACCATATACATGTAAGTATATATCATGAACTATTTAGTATGCAGCATCAGAAATTGATCAATTACCATTTCACTTTATTTTCATGAAGTGTTTCAGATTTATTACGTTTTTTGAGTGTGAAATCACTTCAAAATTGATCAAGGCCATTTAATTTTCATTTTCATTGTCAATTCATATACGCAGCTAATTAATATAAATGGCCAATAAACAAAAAAAAAAAAAAAATAAACAAAAAATATCAGAGAGTGAGAGAGGGAGACTGCCCGATCTATGGCATTGAACTTGCTCACTCTGTTAACCTTTCAATAATTTCGTAAGTTTATTGTGGGCATAATAATGAGTTTGGGATGTTTTGAAATTGAATTAAAAGAATTAATTGTGTGAGATAATTGATGTTTATAAAAATCTATGGGAGGGTCGATTAAAAATAAAATTGGCAGCTTGAAATTTAAGAATAAGATTAATCGAAATGGAATTTAATTCTTATACTTAATTAAAAATAAATTCAACAAAAACTTTTGAAAGTAAAGCAGATGTTCCTTTAGAAAAGTGTTGTATGTAGTTTGCAAATTGGCCAGGTTGTTTCTTGCAATTGCAGGGATAACTTAGTTGAGGAAAGGTGTAGAAAAATTCTCCACATAGTTAGTTTATTCGGCTTCTATATAAGATCCCCTTAATTTAATGTAACTATTCTAATTTCATTTATGAAATTGTTTTAAAATGTTTTTTTAATATTTTTTTAATATTTTTAATGCTAAACTTTATACTCGCCCACCTTACACAGCTATCTGATCAATAAATCCAGTTGCAAAATTCCAACACCTCTTTTTTCATATAATTTATTGCAAAATTACAATAGATCCATGTCACCCTTCCTTACCCCAATACCACGTCGCGTGGCCTAGCTTGGCTGCTTGTTCACTGAAGAATTTCGTAATTTTCAAAATCACAACAAACAATGGGAAAAATGTAAGCGGCGAGAAACAGAAAAAACAAAAAAACAAGAAAAAACCAAAACAACAAACGACGCGACGCGACGTCGGCGGCTTTTGGGGAACCGCCTTCTTAACAATAGAAAATCTCCGAAAGCCGTCGACGGAACTGCGTCCAACTGGCGTGTTGCACAGTTGATGTTGTTTGCCTTGTTGTTGTTGTTGTTGCTACTGCCAGCCGGAAGATATTTTAGACTAGTTTGCAGTGAGGCAAGTTTATATACATGTATATATGTATTTATGTATATAGAGTGAAAGAGAGAGTGGAGGGGAAACTGGGCGCGCGGGAGCTTAACAGTGGTTCCGAACGTGCCTCCGTGTTTGGACAGGAACAAGTTTTATAGTTTTTACGCTGACGCTGTCCAGTCCATCGGGGCTCGCACAGCTGTTGTAGTTCTTTTGCCGGACGAGCCTAAACATGGCCCAAACCATGGCTAAAAACCAGTCTAGTTTCAGTTCCAGTCCCACACCCAGCCAACTCCCCAGTGCATTTTGTGTGCTGGCCCGCCTGTAGTTTTGAACTAGTTGCGGTGTATCAAATCAAGTCTAACCACGAAACGACCCTAGCAGTCGCTATGCTCCGATCCCCCCAACCTCCTTTCGCGCTGCCCGTCCCACTATTCGGGGCTACTTTTGCACAGTTTGGAAATTAACTGGTTGTTTTGCGTGTCAGCTGCTGCTGTATGTGGAGTCTTTTGTGCATTACCCACTCCGTCCCATCCACCTACCCGACCTTCCACAGCGCCCCATTTATATCGTATTGTTCGATGGCGCCTTGCAGACAACTTTATGTTAAAGGTTTAGAATGCGC